TGCATGCATTACCAAGTTTGGTGTTGAATGCAAGTGTTAAGTCTTCTTGTGGAGGAACCATGGTTGTAGATGTGTCGTCTTTCTCACTGCTATCTTAGGGTGTGATCGACTCCGAGCGCTCACCACATTTGCACTTCCGTTTCATCGGCTCTCTGTGCGATCCTGGAAGAATGTTTGATCCGAAAAACGGTTCACTCAGATTCATTCCGGGTGTTCTCCATCCCTTGGTCGTTTTCTTTATCAACCAGGTCGTCTTTCGTCAAATTGCTGAAAGACTCACAGACATGGAAAACCATGAGGTACCTCAATTTCCCCTTTGCTTGCCAAGATCTTGTCTCAAAATTCCGTTTGTTATAAATCCCTTGGTGTGTGGATGCAGCTATGTCTGTAAATGTAAACGACTCCATTGTTTCTTTCCGAAACAACATTAAACACTCAAAAACTGCCGCATGGGTGCCAACTTTGTTTTAGACCTCGATAAGCTAACAAATTTAAACCAGTAAGTAAAACTGTTTGCTATGAGCTTTCGTTCTAGCATAAATTCTAGAACATGGACATTAAGAAATGCATAACTCTGCATAGGATGCTATTACTAAAACATTATCATCGCTTTTACTTTTTCCCAGGGGATTCAAAAATTTGAATTTTCACTCCATTGTGACTCATGTCATTTGTGTCTTTTGTCGCCTGGTTGTTGTAAAAGCTATAATGTAGTCATTTGACCCACGAGGGGAACCTCTTAATAGTGAAAAAGACTAAACATGTTTGGAGGAAAGATGAAACACTCTCCAGTATTCTCCATAGGATGCGAAAAGTAAGGCTTTTGCGTTCCAGGCGTAGGAAACACAGTTTTCTGATTAGCATCCGGTCTCAATTTATTGACCAAATGGATAACAACACAAAGTGCACATTTTCCTGATGTTTGCATGGATTTCACAGTTCATTTTGCTGTGACATGATTGCGTAAGGCGTCCACCTTCTCCGGAGCCCCGCCTGGGCTGCTAGAGAGGTCGGATGCAGCATGTCGAAGTCTCATTCTGATACACAGCACCTATTACGAGTGCATGATCAGTCGCAAATGGTTCAGCATACAAATCGTTACAAGGTTGTTCCCATTCTTGTGGTATTAACAACTCTTATAAATGCTTTTGATCCTGATTTATGGGGGAATGCGATTGCTTGTTTGTTCTTTTATCAATTAATTGCAGACCCAACTCAATTGGGATCGTTCTTTAATAGTCAAACGATTCCTCTTTGAAGCTGTTGATGCATACGCCTCTCCCTTCTATCTTGGGGTGATTCTGGTAGACTGGAACGCGCTACAGTTATTCTTGATGACTACCTTCGCGACGGACTCCATTCGGCGTCTCACTGTCGAATGTTTTATGCCTTGGTTCAGTTCTTACTGGCGTGGTCGTCAAGTTACCGCCGCTGCTCTTGCCCACAAAAAGTCAGACGACGCACTGGAAGAGAGTGAAGTGCAAACGAATGTAGTACTTGCTGCAGTTTTTGGAGTTGAATATGAGCCTTTTGATGACTTCCTTGAGATGGTCCTTGAGCACGGTTACATTGTCCTCTTCGCCGTCGCCTGTCCACCCTATCTTGCTTGCATGGCCTTTGTGTGCGCCTGGGTGGAATTCTTCTTTGATGCCTTCAAGCTACTTCAACTACTACGACGTCCGATGGCGCAGTGGCTGCACCGAAAACAGAACATCTGGCTCGTGTTGCTTTCTGTACAAGCCTGGCTGGCCATTTTCTCAAACCTCTGTCTCCTTTCTCGTTATACCCAATGGAACCTGCCTACATTGTTCCTCTTAGAGCATGTGCTCATTGGCATTGGCCTTATCATCGAGTTGGCCTTCTCTGATACACCCATAGCTGCCAAAAACGCCTTCAGGAAGAGAGTGTACGAACGCTATAAGCGCCAACCTTCCGTCAAGCAGTGATCGTCTTTCCGCCCATAGTTTCGACTGTCATTCTCCAATTGCCAACTCTCTTCCATTCTTCAGTATCGGTTGGAACCGTTGAGTCTGTATGCTGATGATGTCTGGGACTACACAAAGCGCCTTCTCCCATAATCTTCTAAAGCCCACTTTTTGTCTGCATTTTGAACATTACAAGAAGTCCCAGAAACAGTACCCTTGTCTAGTGCTTCTGATTTTCCAATATCATTTTCCTGTTAACTTTAAATGTTCTACAAGTCACTATAAGGGCATAGACGGTTTGCGCGCCAGTAGTCAAACAGCATTCGCGCGCAATCACACCAACTTACTTAAATCTGCCGGCAAATCAAGGTTCCTTCACTAAAGGTTTTTTGCCTTTAACCAGTGGAAAATATCAGTTAGTCAACATTGGGCTCTACTTTCTACGGCAACCGTTTGCTCTGTTCTGGTGTTATGCATTAAAATAACTTCATTGATGAGATCACTGTGTATTAGCGACACAATCAGAAGCATGTTTAGGAATTGGGTCGCAGTTTATGAGGTCTAGCCTCGTTAAAATCAAGTTATTGTCGTATGTAGGATTGCTCCGTCAGAAACGTAATAAAATGCATGCATTTTTCCTTGTCTTTAATTTTCCAATCCATGGTAGCGTTTGAGTCGTTAGAGGCCATCTATGGTTTCCGCGTTTGGCCATTTCAGGGATTTCAATAACTTCGTTGATTAAAAGTTTTGTTGGCGCGCATAAAGCGAGTTAGTGGTTACACTAGCAAAAGCACGAGGCGTTTTTGAAACTGTTTGGGATGTCAAATCAAACAAGTCAACTTCATACTTCGCGGCGATACGTTAATGTGCCCGCAGAGGTGGAGTTTTTCTGACTGAAGGCTGAGACATGCACTAAAGCAGATTGATTTTGACAAGGTTCAATAACATCATTCCTAACACGTTATAGATGACCTCTGGCCTGTGTCGTTGATGTGTTCCGTTGGCAATAACGTGAGTCTCCTCCTCTGAGGTGTTTTGCTATGAAACTT